TGCTCTTCTGCTAAGCATACTCTACAAGTGCATTGACTCCAAGAACACTGCACTTGATGAAGTGAACAAGAAGAGAGCAACTCCATTAGCATTAATCATCTCAGGATTACCTTTCAACTGGACAAGGTATGTCTTCAACAACATATTGGCATATGTGAAGAAATACCATGAAAGAGCAAACAACACCATGCCCTGGCTAGGATATGGTTTTCTCATCGGTGAGATACTGAGAAGGAAGGGAGCTCGCAGCAACATCAAAGAGGAAACTAACTGGAGAAAGTTTCTCTCTCTCACATCCAATCAAGGAGCCCCAGAACTTCCTAAAGCAGAAGACACCTTTCTCTCAAATGAGCCTCTCAAAACCGAATTCAAGAAAATCAAAACCCAATCTTTAAAACGTCCTCGGTCTGACAATGAAGAAGTCCAGTCAAAGAGATCTAAGAGGAAAGCTCCTACTACAACAACAAGGAATCTGCAGGATGAACTAGAAGCAGAAGCCTCCCCTCTAGAGGAACTAGAACCTTCAACTCATCCTCTACCAACTATTCATGATGAAAGTGGGGGCTCAAAACCTGACGAAGAACGGCAGGCTGTTTTCTCCTCATCACAAGGCATTGCTATCTCTACAACTCCACTTTCAACACATCTCCAAGAGCAGATAACTTAGGAAGTAGAGCAGGAGGCTCCACCCAAACCAGCAGACCACTCAATCTCTGGATAGATTGGAAGCTGAATGGGCTCGAGTCAAAGAATGGAGGAAATGGAAGCTATCTAGAATCCCACACCAAGCCAGAACCCTTCCAAAGTTCATCGCGGAAGAATACTTTGCTCTGAACTGGCTAGGAACTGAGGACATTGCTGCAGCAACAAACCTTCACCAAATGAATTTGGTCTATTCCACCAAGAAGAAACAGATGACTGATAAGCCACAAGAGGAGCACTCCACGGATGATGATGATGATGATGATCTTGATGATGATGACAACCATACTGGTCCAAATGGCCCTCCAGAGAATAGAGGTAAACAAATCATCTCCTCCTCCTCTTCTAGTGATAAAGAACTTCGAATGGTTCTAGAAAAATCTAGATTTGAAACTAGAGGAGGTGGAGAAACCTCCAGAGTAATGGAGGAAGAAGCACAACAGTCTACTGAGCAGCATCCTGACAACATTCCACTCCAGGAGCTTACTACTCAGCCTATAGCAGTTCAAGAGCAGCAAACCGATGCACACTCACAGGAGTCTACTCAAAACTTAGAGCAACATTCTCCTACATTCATCCTCAACCACGAGGATGATGAAAAAGACACTGCTACCCTGGCAGATGTCTTCATCAAGGAAAGAAGAGCAACAACCAAGTTCATAAGTAATGTTGAGTTAGACTACACAAACGGCTCATCAAGATGAAGAAGCAACTAGAGGCAAGACTGGACATGAGGTTTGCAGAAGTCCACTGCCACATCAAGAGCAACCTGATGATCCAGCAGGTCTTCAATTCAGAGCAAAATGCACAACTCAACATCCAACTGGCTCAGTAGCCTGCTCAGATTGAAGCAATACACAGAGAGCTTGCAACACTAAGAGCCAAGGATGCAGAGCTGGAGAACCAAATCCAGGCCTCCCTAAGGGAACTAAGGCATCAAGAACTAGATGGCCCCTCCTCTATAAGATCACTAGCAGCCAAGAAAGCGGCAGAAACCAGAAGAAAGAACAAGCTCCTCCAAGAAGAAGCGGAGATCAGAAAAAGGAAAGCAGAAGAAGCAAAAGCAAAAGAAGAAGCCAAAAAGAAGTTGGAGGAAACCAACAAGAGTAGACTTCAAGGAGAGTCCGAAAGTGACTAAAAACTATTGTACTTTAAACTTTAGAACAATGTACCATGATCTCAAATTCAATAAAACCATATCTCTCTTGTGTTGTATAGTTTTGGCATCATCAAAAAGGGGGAAATTGTTAGTCCCAATTTTGATAGATTTTGATGATGTCACTATACTCTACACTAGCACATTGTGTGTCTAAATTAAGTTCGAACATTAGTCTTTAATTTAATCATAAATGACAAAATAAATGTACAATTTTTGAGACTAATGAAATATCACCGGAAAAGTAAAAATGCAATAAGGTAATTTCTATTTACCTTAATAGGATATTTAGATCCTACCGGCATATATTATTTAGCTCAAAGATTAATTAAATGTCACATTTTAAAGATGCTCGGATATCATATACATTGAATGTGTATGATTGGAAGACAAAGCTTGACATGCATTAAAGACTCAAACAGGTACATGGACCTACTGCCTGGACGCACACATAGGCATACCTATGCCGCGGCTCAATCATTCAAGATAAGGAAACCGTCTCATTAAAAGCGCCAGCACAAGAAGACAAATGTACAATTTGTCCTTGCCAGATTTTTCAACGCCAGAGATTAAATCATCCTTACCAACGGATGAGATTAATCAACTGGAGTAGCCTATAAATATAGGCTGAAACTAAAGTTTCTAACGAAGCTTGAGCATCCTAAGTAGAGAAATACTTCCATAAAAGCATATACGAGCTATCTAGCAAAAGAGAAAGTGTAAACTCAACTTTACTCTCTGCTTGGACCCATGCTTCACTAAACTTCCAGTTTTCAAGTATTCATTGATAAATCATAGAAGTTTAGTTCATAGTTGGAGGTTAGAACTTTCTTGTAAACTAATCACAAATTGTTGTAAACACTTAGGAGAACAGTTGTTTGGATCCTAAAGTGTAGTTAGATAGATAGAGTACCTTTTGATCCCCACTGGTTCATTAGAGAAAAGTCTAAGGACTGAGTAACTTTGAGTGGTGTTATACTCATTGTGAAAAACCTTCAATCTAGGCCTAAGTGTTGTAAAGGCTAGATTGTCACTAAGTGTATTGGACTCAATACTTTAGTGAAAATCCATCTAAAAAAGGGTGGGACTGGACGTAGGAGGATTACACCACCTCTGAACCAGGATACATCGTGTGTTGATTTTATTTTAGTCAACAAAGCACACACCCAACACTTCTCACATAAAGATTGTAGTTTGCCAGCAGCATCCTAAGCAGTTGTCTTAATTGACCCAACTGCTTATCCTACTGCTTAATTACTCACTTTCTTTTAGACCATCGTTCACACAAGAGACGTGCATCAATATCACTAAAAGGCCTGTTCTACTAAATACCAGAATTTCACCTTCTGAGTACAGCAGTTGCCTCAGCAATCCCCTGGTGACCAGCCAACTGCTGAGCCCTCTGCTCATGCATACTTATTCCCTTTGAATACCTCTACACTGCTAGACACTCATAAACATCAGTGTCAAAAATTCTGTTCAAACCAATCTCTGAAAGTTAAAAACCCAGCAGGTGCCTTAGCAGTTCCCTCATCTTCACCCAACTGCTGAGCCCACTGCTCCAGCAAAACTTCTGTTTACCCTTACTAAAGCGGACCTTCAGAAAGTCCTCATCATTCCTATAAACTGATCTTCATCACTTTCATCATAGACTCAATATTTCTTAAGCAATTGTCTCAGCAGTTCCCTGCCATCCAGCCAACTGCTAAGCCAACTGCCAAGCTAACTGCTAGTTGTTCAAGTCCAAGTTTCTCCCAAAACAGAAAGTAGTTATACACTGATTACATAGAGGGTAAAGACTTCCGCTGTGCATCTATAAATATCTCTAAAGATTATAGATCAACTATTTTAGAAAGGAAAAGTTTTTAAAGTTTGAAAAGCTTTAAAAGTCTATTCACCCCCCCTCTAGACTTTTACCCCTATCCGGGACCATCAGGTTTAGGGTTTAGGGTTTAGGGTTTAGGATTAAGGGTTTAGGGTTTAGGGTTTAGGGTTTAGGGTCCCGGGTCCCAGGTCCCGGGGGACCCGGGACCCGGGTCCCGGGTGCCGGGTTCGGGGTTCGGGGTTCGGGGTTCGGGTTTCGGGGTTCGGGGTGCGGGGTGCGGGGTGCGGGGTTTAAGGCTCAGGACTCAGGGTGAACCCAAAGTTTAATGGCGTTGTTATAGTTTATGTTTTAGGATCCCTTTTTTAATTATGATGAATACTACATTAGTTCGTATTTCGTGGATAGAAGTTAGCCTAAGTAGTAGTATTTCGTACATATACTTCATATGAAGTACGGTTGCGAAACAAAAGACGACCGAAAAACATAAATAAAAATGGAAGAAATATGTCACATCAACCAAAAAGACTTGCCATGGAGAGTCGCATCCAGTAATTTGAACTAATTGATAATTTTGTAGTAATAAATGTATTTATTTGATACTTTTTTCGATAGAAGGATTGTAGTGGTTTATTTGATATAAGGAATGTTTGCATTTGCTTTAAAAAAGCTCTTTTTAGCTTTTGGCTTAAAAAAAGCTGAAAAGAGTGTTTTCAAATGACAACTTCTACTTAAATTAATCACTTAAAAGCTAAAAGTTGGAAGCAGGTAGAAAGGTGCTTTAAACTGCTTTTACTTTTTTTATTACACAAAAAGTACTTATTTTACCAAACACTACGAACTTTTACTTTTTCAAAATCATTTTTTTCTCAAACACTACCAACTTTTACTATTAAGTACTTTCTCCACGCAAACACTCCCATAGTTACTAGTAAGTGAGTGTATTTGACCCTGGTTCTTTATCTTTATTAGTTTTTCATACTCCATATTAGATACGCATGATTCGGGAGCGTATGCATGCTTCAATATTTGTAGTTTGTGAAATGTTCAGGTATTCATATCTTAGATGATACACTGATACACATATCAAGTAGAAAAATTAAAACAAGATGTTTGTCAAGTATGATTATACGTGACATTTGCTTATTTTAATAGAAAATGTCATGATAATACGTAAAACGTGAATCTACCGGTTTTTAAAAATGCTTTTTCTTAAAGAACATGAACCTACTGGTTTGTCAAGTATGATTATAAGTGCCATCTTCAGTCAAGACTGTCATAAGTATTTTTTTCCCATTATCCCACACAGCCACACTCCTAATACACTTCTTAAATAAAAGTAGCTTTCTTCCTGTAAATATCATTTAGTAATCCAAAATAAATCATTCTAAGTGCACGTATATTCTTACGCAGAATAACAGATTTCTTTTCTGAAAGAAAACCACCCTGCATTGTAATATGTACAAAGGCAATGAATGATAGCTGAAAACCCAGCTTTAGCCGTATCTGCAAAACTGAAGAATAACCCCATTGTGAACTATTACCAAAAACACGCTAGACTGGATGGCTACGACTTGGTTGCCATCACCATCCATACATGTGGAGCGGTGGAGGTTCAAAAAGGTTACATCACCAAAGAATGGTTGCCTTTTAACCATCACCCTGAAAGAAAAAAGGGAACTTCAATTCTTTTCCTGATCCGTGTGAGTGTTAGTTTTGGGTGTTCTATCAAATGTTCGGGGTTTTCTCTTTGTATATTGTTCTTCCTTCCACTTGTTAACATACTTCAAGAACGCAAGAGCGGGATTTTCTCCTGGTGGGGCACGAACCCGTGATGACCTCCTCAGCACAGATTCGTCTTTACCACTTTCCTGAGTAGCTTCCTTTGATCTCTTTTGGATTTCTAGGCTGTAATATATTTTCAAGGCAAAAGAAACCAAATATTCATGAAAAGAACATTCAACAAATCTATAAACATGATAGAAGAGGCTTGAGAAACAAAACCTAAACGGAAACTTAACCAACCCAAACCCACCAAACCATAGGCCTTTTGGTGTGCAGTTTATGGTTTAGCTTCTAAAAACTGACCGACCCAATCGAAACCAATGAAAACGACCAAAACGAAACCGACCAAACCAAGCTGATGAACACACCTAGAAGAGACACAACATCCATTATAGACATCTAAGTTCAGACTTACGTTATTTTATCAAAAAACTTTTCAAGTTGCTTTTTGAGAGCCCTCTCCCTTGTACCCTTCACATTAAGTGAGCCCATCAAAGCATTGAGCTGTTAAAACAAAAAAAGAAAGAAATTGTTAAAACACCATTCCAATAATGGAATAATTGCAACAACAATAATAATAATTCCTCTGTTCTTATTGAATTCTCTCGTATTCCTTTCTAGGATGTTTTTACCATTTGTCCCTCTTTCCTTTTTAGCAAGTTTTTTCAATCAAAATACATTTACACCCTCACTTTTATTTCCCTTACCTTTTTTACGTTTTACAAATTATTTTCTCTTTCCTATTTTTTCATTACTTTCCTCTTCTTAGTATATTATCTTTCCTACTTTTTCATTTACCCTACTCTCTCTATACTGCCCCTACTATTTTCTTCTTAAAAATCACAAAAAAAAAACTAAAGTGGCAGTAAATAAAGCACGGAGGGAGTAATATTAATAATAATAATAATAACAATGATAAAACAGCATGCTGACACCAAACCAACACTATCACAATACCTCCTCCTTTGAAGAATAATATCCCCACTGCATGGAATCAGAACTCTCAACAAATATTCTTGCTTCACGTCTGAAAAACCAGTACCTATTATATTCTCTATCTTTCCCCAGTGGACTAGTACGCATAACTCTCTTTTCTATTTCTCGGTCAAGATACTCTTTCTGAAATAAAAGAACAGATGAATAAGACAAAGCTTGAAGAAAAACTAGTGTTTTGGGAAACATTTGCCAAATCAATAAAACTCATGTTATGGTAACATGTTTTTTTCTTTTGCCAAAAGTTTCATTTTCCTTTCCTCTATGCACTATGCATGCCAATTGTCAAACATAAAAATAGAACGGGAGCAGAGGTGATCAAATACACAGACAGAGATAGCCCACCCTTTGCTCCTTGCTCCTGCTTTCTAGTGTTTCCTTTATTTGATTCTTCCGTATCTTGTGTGCTAGCCTTTGCTTTTGGTCCTTACTCTGGTTTTGCATTATTTTCTTCATCCCATTCTTGAAAGCAGCCTTCCTTGATGAACCATTACCGTTCTCAGCAGCGCCTTTCACATATACCTTCTTTTTCTTGGCATCCCTGAAAATGGTATCTGCTTGCTCCTCTTCACTGTTCATAATGAAGGAGAAAATATAATGATCAGAAAGGGTGGTGGTGGGGAATGCTCTGGAATATTAAAAATATTGAATCATGGAGATTAAACCTGTCATCTGATAAATGTTTCGAATTCAAAGGGGTCTCGATTGCATTCCCTTCATCAGAAAGGGTTCCATTTTCCCTATTGATATGCCCCTTGCATGCTCCATTTTCAGCACATGGAGTATTAGAACGCTCTTTTCCTTCCCTTTTATTTCTACCTTCTTCCAAAGCTTCATCCCTCCGTGCGGCCGACAGTGCCAACCGTTTCTCAATATCCTCATCCAACTTCTCCTTAAAAACACCTAACATGAGGGCTTGTGCAATCAGTTCCCCAAGGATCTTTAATTTAATGCTAACATCTAGAAGCCCATAGTGACCGCGTTTGATTGTAGAAATATGAGAACACAAGTCAGCAATGCCTATCATTTCCAAGAAGTCACACAAATACTCTGTCCATGTAATCATCGAGATCTGAAAAGCAGGGGGATATTGCTGGAATCAGAGATTAGTACGAATAAATACTGCTATCAGACAATGGAAGTTATAAGACTCAATTCAAGGGAAGTCAGGCACAATGTGTGGTGGGCACAATGAGTCAAGCATAAACAGAAAGAGAGCACTCTAGACTGAATAACCCTATGCAGAAAAAAACAAGGGGCTTTTGCCTTCAATATTACTAAATTAAAGCCACTTTCCTAAAATGTGACCATTTTGCAAAAAGACAAAAAAGAGACTGTTGGGTCACTGTAACCACTGCCTATGTCACTATAGCCACCGCCCATGTCACTGTAGCCACAGCCCGTGTCACTGTAGCCACCTCCCGTGTCACTGTAGCCACCTCCCGTGTCACTGTAGCCACCCTACACCTCCCGTGTCAATGTAGTCATCTGTGTCACTTTAGCCGCCACCGGACAAAGTGACTGGCCCGCCAACTCCGTCCACCGCCGTCACTTTCAGGCCACCCCTCCCCAGCCCGCAAACCCCCTCCATAGCCCCTAGTACCCTCTAGGTCCGCCCCCGACCTGCCCAACCACCTCCCTAGCTTTAACTCTGATCGGCCTGCCCCGTTCCAACCCTCCCCAGCCCCTGCTCCGACCAAACCAGATCTGAAATGCCCTAACCCCGATCCCGACCTAGCAATGCCGCACACCAGCTCCACCAGCCATGTCTTGCTTCCAGTCCCGTCCCAACCTGTCAAAGCCCACACACTAGATCCCCAGCCCCTAGCCCCACTCCCAGCCACTATCCCTGCGCACCAGATCCCCACTCCCCGCCCATAGTTAGCACTACGCACTGGATCGTCATCCAGCCCCACCCCCCAACCAGCCCCCTCCCATGACCCGCCCCCTGCTGTTCCCCCAGGCCCTCTCCGACATCGAGGACGGCGGCCTAGCATTTGCTGCGCCAAATCGGAGTGGTTGTCCCCGAGCTTGACGGATCCAGATTTGGAGGCCCCAAAACGAGTCGTCAGCTACCGAGGAAGTCGGATCCGGCACTGGAGAAGGCGTCTCCCATCGAGGACGACAGTTTCAGTGGAAGCACGGTCATCGAGGATGATGGATGAGGCAGTCAAGTTCAGTTGCAATCGACAGAGGAGGAGGGGGAGAGTTGCGGCAGGTCGGCGGCGGCGGAACAACAGAGGCGGCGAAGAAGAAGGTAGTCGATCGGTTGAGTAAAGAGGAAGAAGCCTTGTGAGGTCTGTTGGCTAGAAAGGAAGAAGCCTGCGATTCTGCGAAGAAGAAATGTCGAGAGAGGCGGATTGGTTTTTTTGACTCACTTTTTTGTCCAGATTTAAATCTATCATATTTTTGTCTAACCAAACTCTAGAAGTAATATCTATGCCATTTTTTCAAAAAAAAAATCAGAACACTTAATAGTGATGCACATTGACCTTGTTCTTTCTCTTTTTCTTCTGTACAGTGAAGAAATACCCCACGTGGTCATTCATCAGGAGACGAAGAAGGGCTGAGTGAGCTTCCACAATGAGAACAACGTTGCTGTCACTATGGCACACAGCATTCTCAAAATCTTCAAGGGAAAATGGCGACAATTGCAAAAATCTGCCAAATGATGTACAAAAATCCCAAACCATCAAAAGATCCCCAACACAATGCATAGGGGCATTGAAATCCCTTGAAGGAGAAGGACGTTCAGATAACTGTCTGTCACTTTCTGAAGGCTTTACTAGTAAATCATCGATTGGATATCTAAGAGACACCATATCCAGCTTTCTGTTTTCTGAAAAAAATGTTGCAAGTACAGGGGAAAAAGATAATTAGATGGTGGAACTACCACAAGCAATGTGTAGAGATGATATGCATGAATCAAGCTGAAAACAGCTCGAAATAAGAAAAGAATCAAACAAAGATAATGGTCTTGGGAATTCTACACAAAAAAGAAGACCAATTACTAAAGCCTTACCATCATCAACACTCTCCCCGTTTGTCAAGGGATAATGATTTTCCATGTCCTGAGAAGCAATAAAATCAAATTGTCATTGGTAGCAGAGCACACACACAAACATACTAAGAGAAAATTCATATAATTACCCCATCAGTTTGTATGCATTCACCATTCTTCCTCTTCTTACTTACAACAACCAGTCCATCCTTCACAGATATTTTATTTTCTAACTCTGCAGGAGGGTGAGTAGGAATCCTATGCTCATCTGCCAATTTATCATGCAAGACCCATGGAATGCTGTGATATGTAGACTCTCTGACTAAAACCTTGAGAACACCTCTAATATAAGGCAGCTTCTTTCTTATCAAGTCTTGTTCACTTACGTATGTACTTTCAGATATGTCATCATATTTGTCCATCCATTCAACTTCATATTGTGTTTTCCCATCCTCTTCTACAACTTTTAGAATCCTGCAATTATATATACAGCTATTTTTCATCCCATACAAATTGGAACCCACACACAGACGGCCTTGAAGCTTCATAGCAATTGCATTGACAAGATCGTTTAAGCTCAGCATACCTGTGAATGCATGATAAGATCGTCAGAATACAACTTCAGAAATAACTTATGCCTAACCATAGTTGTCTTATCGGACATAAAATAAGAGTCAAGAGGCAAAACATAAAATATCAGAAATCAGAATACCAACAAAACATAACTGAATATGAAGAAGTTGAATTGGAAACAATTAATAAAAGCATGCCCTCTGCTTTTGAGTTAATTAATATATATCATATGCTTTTGAGTTGATGTAATGATAATGACATTCAGGTGATTGAGGTAGCCAAAATGAAACCATAGAGTGTTTACAAATGAAAGGTTCAAGCCTTCAAGGCATTAGTGTTTATCTAAGATTTACAGGACAAGAACTGCATCTGTCATATTATAGGAGTACAATCAAATATAAGAGACATTAAGTCTCAAATAGCATGAAAAGACTTTGAAACTGAATGTGGTATATGTGATAAAACAACAGCCTCTACACCTTGTGTTGAAGTCAATCAGTACCATTCCAGTCATAAATTCATATGCTATGCAAATATGCAATTGACCTAGTACCAACTAGAGCAAATGGTGAATACCAATAGAGCATGTCAGGGGAAAAAGGCCCCTAAAATCATGTATTGTGCGGCATTAATAATTTTTACATTCCCCCTTTCTCTATAATATCTACCATTTAAGGAACCAACACACTTCCCATCGAATCCAATTTCTTGTTTACCATTAAAAGGTACTCTAACTCAATAGTTTGATTATTACATTATTTGTTGACTTGCAATTTTTCTTAGCAATGAGAATATTGCAATCCTAAAGATTTCAACACCAAAATGCAAGTAGTTTACATGGGGTAATCAAAAGAATGTAAACATGAACATCGGTGCTTTCAATGTAGATTCACTTGCAGCCCACGGTCCAAATAAGTGAATGTTAGTGCATACATACAGCCAAAATCTTATCTTTGCATCACCCCAAAAAAATGTAGTGAAAATTGAAGTGTGTGCGTGTGTGTCTTAAAAAAGGGCTTAAAATCATGTTAAAGCAGTGCGTGTGTGTCTTAAAAAACAGGTCCTCTAACTGAACAATTTTATTACTACACGTCTACACTACGTACTTAATTTTTCATCACGTACACAGTGTTCAGAGTATAACAAACTCGAAGCTTCCAGCATAAACTCAAAAATATAAGTAGCTTACATGATATAATAGAAGAAACAGTAGGGGTAAAGTTTGTAAGTGGTTGTAGGTTCACTTCGTCAATCCCATAAACATTACTATATGGTGGATTGTGAAATTTGAAAATAATGTGCCACACTGACAACTCCCAGATAAAAGACAACCAAGTTTTTTTCTTTACTTGTAAGTAGAAAGAAGCTCATCTACTGAGTAAAAGATTTCATCCATAAAGTCATCCCCAATCATAAGTTGCACAATTTTTAGAAAGGCAGCGATATACCTTAATTAATATTACATTCTAAGGCCATTCAAATAGAACTTAGAAGGCTGTAAATATAACTCCACTATCAAGAATAATCAAAACGGAAAATGAAATAGAACACACATAATTATAACCAAGCAAGGTAGGAGAATTACTGAATTGAACATCTCGGAGTACAGGAGCCAGAAGTTCCTTTGGAAACAGTTGCAGCTCTTTGCCAGATTCCTTCTCTGAAAGGAGCGCTTCCTCATAGGTCAAGCAATTCTTTCCAGACAGTTTGCAAGACCATACCTTTTGTTGGTACATATTCATCCGCTTCAAATAATCACTACAATGTTTTTAAAAAAATCCATTTAACTTGCTAGCTAGCGCATACAAATAAAATAGATACCAATAATTAACAAAACAAGAACTTTTAGGGTTTACCCATAATCCCTGAAGATCTCTTTTGTGAATCTGACTTGGAACAGCAGCTCATTAGGACTCAAATCTGTAGGCTTTTCCAACAAAGCAAACGGCTTTCTTTTATACAATGGCATTCCGGAAAGTTCAACTTGAGTGCCTACACAATCCAGCAATTGAAGATCAAGTCCCGTAAAGAAAAGTTTTTAACTTCAAACCGCAGGAATATACGCAAACAAATTTCCAGTGCTCATTCGTGCATTAACGGTTTGTTGAAGATATGCATCATAAACGTACAAGAACGCATCGAGCAAAAAAAGGAAAGCGGTAACTCAAGAAAACAAACTAATCTTTGCATTGCCGTAAAGAATAAAGACGATTCCCGCCAGTGGAGCATTTCATAGTTACATATTTCCACCATTTTTAGCAGATTGAATTGGAAAGAGATATCATATTTGAGCTTCAATATTGGGACTGGTTATAGTTTTGGGGAGCCAAAGGGAGGCGGTGGTGGAAGCTGCCCGACTAACCTGTTGGAGGAGGGAGACTTGGCTCTCTCTCAATCTTCGCTTCTCTCTCTCTTCATGCATTCCCAAATCCCAACTTTAGGAACTCTGTCGCTATTTAAATAAGACTTGCTGCATAGACTACTCTGCCCTTTCCCTTTTTACAAACTTGCGTCATGTTATCATGTATAAACACTTCTCTGTTCGCACATTCAGAGTTTAAATTTGAAAAAAAATTATGGGTCCTTGGCGTTTTCATTAAAAAATTGTGATTTCATTTAGCGTTTTTCAATAAGTGAAAATATTATTTGGTATATAGTTGTTCAGTCCTAACATTTTTGGACGGAAGCGCTGAAATGTAAACATTGTAAATAAGATTGTTTTGGTTAGCGTTTTAAAAATGACGTTATCTACTAATTATTATGGAAAAACAACTAAATTACCAAACATCTTCTCGCAACTCGTCAACTTTTTTCACTAGTCAAACCCTTTGAATGAATCTGTTATCGCAATCCGTTAACATAATCCGTTATTCATTAATCGCTAAATGTCAAACACGTCCTATGTAATTATGTAAATAAACGAAGAAAAAGATTATGTAAAATCCACTTTCACTTCCTCTTATCACATCTAGTTTAGACTTTAGATTGTTTTTAGAATTGAATCTGATTTTACATCTTTTGAAAAGTAAAGATAATGTATTCTATTATGTGATAAGAATAATTTTCATTTGAGTATTTGATATTACTTCTACTATATTGAATAGATAATCAAGTTAGATGATTTGGATAGGTTTGTTGTTACAAGTTATTTGGGTAAGATTACTAGAATGACATAATGTATTGGTTGGGTACAATTAAAGAATATTAATGTCACACTAGATAGATAATGTAAAAAAACATTTCAAATAATGTATTTACCTATCAAACTTTTAATATTAATATTATGTAAAGACAATGAGTGTTTTTCTGTTTATATGAAACTCAAAATGTTTAAGCAAATAAACATCAAAATTAAGGTAGAATATTCACATTTGTTTTTATATTTAAATTCACACTAATACCCATGCTCATTATATTGATAACATCCATATTCATATTCTCATTATATTATTCATTCATATTCCCCACTCGGCTTCTTTGTCTAAAAATAACTTTCCCAAATGATCAAGAAGTCAAAAATATTACGTAGTATTTGGTAATCATAGCCGTCTTTAGGGGATATATACACCTAGACATGGGCTCAGGGTACCAAGAGCATGTGGGGCGCCAAAAAGGATATTAATATCATGTGATATGTATTATATATCTCTAACAAACTCGCCGAATAAAAAGAAAACAAAAAGACAAAGGTAATATTCAATAATAAGTCACATGTGTGAATGAGTTCTGCAATACTCTTATGGGACTTATTTTATCACTAGAATTCTATAAATAAGTATACAATCTAACTTATATTGGACTTCAACCAAATTTGTTTTTCGTTGGTATACAAGACCACAACAATAACCTAATTCTCATAAATCTATTTGATGTCTACACAAGACGGCAATAATTGCTAGTTGTGTTATTAATTTCTCTATATTTTGAAATTTTCTTATTCTAAATTATGATCATAATTTTTTTAATTTTAAAACGTATTTAATAGTTTGGAATATAATTAATTATAATTTCTTGTAGTATTATTAATTCTCGAAGTCTTTATGATGACAAGTAAATAAAATTAGATCGGACTTGGGAGCCTTCAATAAGAAAAGCTTGGTAAAAAGGGACCAAGTTATAAAATATTTGGTGGGTTGTAGGGAGGTGCATGTGAAAAATATCTATATTTATCCTACAAAGTACAAACATAGACATGTTTTCTTACTTTTCATTGAATTCAGTACATCATTGAATTTTTTATATTTTATTAAATGATTCCATATATCTAGTTTTAATTTCCGCATGTGGCACCAAATGTTCTAAAGATGGCCCATGTTGGTAATTAGTTTGTTGGTGAGTGAGGTGGTATATAAGCATGACTTTACCTATAAAACAATGAAGGTGACAACTATTCACATGGTCAAAAAGGTGACAAAATTACACAAATATTATTACCTCAAAGGAAATTTGAAATGTGGTAATTATGTAGATATGAAATATTCACCTCACTCAGAATAAACATGGCAGTGTTTTCCCTATGAAAAAGTTACACAAATATTACTACCTCCGTCCCATTAGAAGGTTCTCATCCACTATTCACATGGTCAACTTAAATCATTTTTAATCTTTTACTTTACATATCAAATTTTTATCAAATTCACATTTTTCTTTTATCAGACTTTGTAACGGTTGTAATGTAGTTTCTGAATATGTAAATTTTATTTACTAAAAATAATCAGAGTGTGAACATGGATTAAGTTGCTTTATTGTCAGTCAAACATCGTAAACCGTTCACGGGAACCTTCTAGCAGGACGGAGGAAGTACTACTTTAAACCCCATTAACAAAAATATGACTTTTTCCCCTTACTCTTATGATGTCATATACGTGTTCCATATTAATAGTCACTTTTTTGTAAACCCATATACTATTGGTAATATTTATGTAAAAATCGTCTTAGATTTTGTACCTGTAGTTTGTATTTTATATTTCATGTTTATATATGTACATTGAATAGCATATTTTGTACTTATATCTCTATTTATTTTTATTTTTTTATGTCTAATTTGATATTTTTAAATTCAAATTCATATATTTATATTTTTACATTTTTTAAAAATTCAAAGATATAATATTTACACTTAAAAAATTTATTTTTTTTATAATTTATACACTATATTGATATTTTATTTTTTATATGTTATGTTTATACTTTACGCTTTTACGTTTAAATTTTAAATTTTACATTTCTGTTATAAATTTAGATTTTATATGTTCATTTGTAGTATTTTATAACTATAATTTATGATATACGTTTGGCACATTTTCATGAAAGAGAGAGGAAAATTGGACAACCCAAACAGGTTCAAAGATTGCTTCATCATTTAGTCTTTTTTCTACTATCAATTAGTCCATGTGAGGTGCATTATTAACACTTGACTGGTAAACTGGAGTTTACGAGAAAATGAAGATTTTGAATTAGTTTACTAAGCACAAGGTTTTTGTTGAATATATTTAAGTAATTAAGTTAATGGTAGAATTGAGCAACTATGATTGTCTAGTGGAAAATTCCACTAGACACTTATAGTATTACATTTTATACTAATATCATTTGAGACTTAGGATGTTTTTAGTTGACCTGCAATTTGCTAGTCCGGTCTGGTTTCTTTGTATTTTTATAACTATCCAAGTCTGGTCTGGTCTGATCTGATCTGGTCTGGGACGAATTACACTCCAAGTAAAAACATCCTTTGCATCAATAAGTAAAATCAACTTATTAGAACCTAGCCTCAACTAGACTATTAAAAACTGAATAAGGAGAGTGGTAAGAAGCACGTACTCCTACAATTTGAGTAAAAGAGTGTTTGTCATTGCTTCTCAAAAGCACTTTTCAGTTTTTTTATTTCAAAAGCTACAACTAAAAGCTTATACAAACACAAACTTTAAACATGTTTTAGCTTATACTTTTGCTTCTCAAACACAAACTTTTTATTAATTTAAACACTTTAAAGCAAAAGCTCGAAGCTGAAATATAAATGTTCATATTTGCTTCTCATTTTTTGTAAATAAATAATTCAAACTTTAAGGATAGTAGTAATAATAAATATATTCGTCAAAAACCAAAAATACCATTCGGTCTTCTTCTTGCTTCTCTCACTGCTGTAGTGGTGGACTCGGGTCGGGCCACCCGGCCCGTGGACCGGACCGGCCCACTACTGTGCGGGACCGGGACCGGCCCGATTCTCGGGTCCGGGTCGGGCCTAGGCCCGGAGGGAGGGCGGGTCCGGGCCAAATTGGGTTTGGGGGGGGTGGGGGTGGGGGGAGGGTTAGGAAAGCAAAAAAAAAAAACGGAGGCCCGGACCGGACCCAGTGGCTACCCGGGCCGGTCCCGGGTCCACCAATCCTGAACCGCCGGCCCGCCCGGGCCTAGGCCCGACCCGTACCCGGACCCGGCCCGGGTCCATCACTACGCTGCTGAAACATCACCTTTTTACTCCTCTTAGTTGAGCTTTTTTTGTTGCAGAAATATTCACTTTTTTATGTCATTGCATTTTTAACTGAATTTGTTGTATTGTCGATGCTTTTAGAGACATAAGATCTCAAATACAATACACATAAATTATTGTTATTTTTAACATTAGGACTTCTCTTTATTTGATCCAATGTGTGTGTTAAGCATTTGTGTGCGGAACCGAACCAATTTGATGTTGAATTGGGTTTATACTTTAAAAAGTCGCGGAGATCGGACATAAGTGTATGGTTAGCTTGATGAAGAAAAATTAGGTAAAGAAAGAAATGGCGTCAATCGGTGTCATTCATGATATCAAGTGGGTTGACTTGTTGGATTATTATAGTTTTTTTTATTAACTACGATGAGAGGTGACTATGAAAAATGCATACGGTCTCTCCAAGTACTTGAGATAGGAGTCTTACTCACTATCTACCAGTATGGGATTAAAATACAATTTACATCATCTCAGTTAATTAATTAATGATATTGTCAGTTTATATATACACATAGATATGGAATTTAGTATGAGAGAATAGGGTTTTGGAATAATGGCTTACCCAATTAGGTAGCCTCGTGGTATATTTATACTAGAAAATAATAATATGAAAGGTACAATAATATCCTTTATAGATTCAGCACGACACACAAAGAAGAAAGACAAGAATGCCAACCTTTAGCCAAAGGAGGACGCAATTATATAATCGTAGCCTGAGGTGGAAACTCTTACATTCACATATACATTAGGATATACCGATATAATATACTCCCTCCGTCCCAATATAAAAGGCACATTTGCGTTTGGGGAGTTTTTAAGGGTGAACACTGTTTGACACTGTTTAGACACTGTTTGGACACTGTTTGACACTGTTTTGCACTGTTTTGTTTGCCAAAAAGGGAAATGTGTCTTTTATATTGGGACGGACCGAAAAGGAAAGTGTGCCTTTTATATTGGGACGGAGGGAGTATAAACATACGAAGTATATATTATATTATATATATACACATATGTTAATATGCAGCTTCATGCATAATCTATTAAATGTAGCAAAGTTTCCAGCAAAAAGATATATGTAGGGTGGAACTATTTCCAGCTTACAGTTCAGAATGCATCTTGAGTGCATCGCTGGAGCTTCCAGGGACAGAGCTGAGTGCTTCAATTTCAAGTCTGGAGAGGATAAGGCGCACTATGTTTTCAGCTGATACAGCACTAGTCTCCATTGTGCTCGCTGCATTCTCAAAAGCATTCACATAGTACAGATGCTGGCTGTCCAAAATAAGTGGTGCAAATACCTCAGGGGCATGAAAGACAGGATATGCACCCCAGTCAATTTTGATCGTCTTGTTTCTCACACTGCAAGAATGATGCAAGGCATAAAATAAAGAGTTGAACAATCGCAGTTCTTTTTAACATTAATTAAACTGTAGCTCATAATCTAATGATTAATTAACTTATTGAGTACATTTCTATGTGAATGCAATGATTATGTGTTTAAATCCATATTATTTCACGCATGTGACAATAGAGAAACAGCAGATTATTTCACGGGGTTCACATGAGCATGTCTTCAGATTAGCAGTTCTTTTTTCTTTTGAAATGTAACTTGGTAAGGAAGATGTACATGAACGTAGACTTGGTCATTACATCAATCTCAAACTTAATTTACTTATCCAAGAAAGGTATGTATCTAAAAGTGTGTTAAATTACTATCAAAACTTAACACCTACTCAGCTAATCTCATCGTTGTTTGACCATCTACGACAAAGAAACTTCTCAATATATCACGAGTTTTAGTGTTTTGCCATAGTTTCAAAACATGTAAGATACGATAACATGTTAACTTAAATACCAGCAGATACAACCACCGCAAATTAAGTCTTTCAAGGGGAAAAAATAAGATTACTAAAATTTCCACTTGAAATAAATAAGTTTATTCTTACCTAAAGATTTTTTCCAATAAATCATCTTCCATGTAACTCCGTGAGAATAGTTTGTAAGTCATATCATGCTCGCTGTACCGTTTGAGAACCGAGATGCTTGAAAATGGGACTTCAGAAGTCTCTATTGTGCCAACCAATTCGGGAAGATCTGATAATGACCTCAAACCAAAATAAGACTTGCAAAAGGGAAAAGTCAAATCAGTAATTAGTGAACTATGGTTAGGAGAGGACAATAACACAAAGGAATACGTTAATAAGATCATACAGTACTCACAGGATTTAAGAGACCCCTAATGAAAGTTGTATGTGTGTGCTGTAATTTCCTATCGGGGATTGTGATTCCAGGTAAAAAATTAATATTCAATTCATCCAAGGGTGTAGCGACCACCACAACTTCACAAAAGTAACTCTTCCCCTTTGTTGTCTTGAGTTCATATCGTTTTCCTGAATAATAGACTGAATCTATGTCTTCACCAAGGTGCAATTCAACATTTGAACGATTGATTAATCCAGCCGCCATCTGCCAATTTCCCCCTTCAACTGACCATAAACCTCCCCCAGATCCAGCCAATGAAACTGCACCAGCAAGACCACTCATAGTGACACTTTGCCCATAATTGATTCTAGTGATAACCTATATAAGAACGTTCAAACTTGCATAAGAACTCAGAAGCATCTTTGTTCTGTCTATGAGATATTACAGACTTCGCTTTAATAGAGGAATAAAGAGATCAAACATCCTAATATGAGTGTGCATACATCATATTATAGGTTTATACTAACTGCAATGCCAGAAGTCAGAACTCTTCTTATAAAAATATGCTCAAATACCACTTATGTCCCATATTAAACTTTGCTTTAGGGTTTACAATGAGCTGATGACTGATAATAAAGTTAACTCTTGCCTAACAGTGCAATTAGTTTTGTGCTTACTACTTGCATATTTAGAAATTACACTAAAAATTTCATTAGATGGCAAAATCCGTATTTCAATATGAAAAGAGATTGGTACATAAATTTTGAGATCAAACCCATCAATATGAGGCTTTAGAGAATTAAAAGAGAGGTCAGATTTTACATACTGTGACAAGCTCTTGAATAAGGGTAGTAGATAAACCAGCATCAGTCAACTCTTCTTCCAAAGTTCTTCTTGTCAAATTATACAACCCCGACCATCTAAGCATGTCCTCTACATCCTCGAACACCGGCCTAGACTCAAATCCTTCATAGAACTTCAAGAATTTATCCACAGTTCCCTGTTGAGAAAGTAAGCAAACTATTCAAGCACTATGTGTGTAAAAATTGATATAAAAATGGCAATTTAATAGTTTACAGAGGGATTGGAGTGAATAAATTATGCAGCACCTCTACGAAATTTTCCATCCGAAAGAGTGAGAACCCATATCTGAGAAAAATGAGGACCGAATTGGCGAAAGACACGAACTTTTGAAGAATCGAGAGCTTGGGGTTTAAAGGCAGTGTTTTGAACACGAACTTACTGCCGTCCCAAATGCCAAAAGAAGAATCGGACTCCGACGATGAGGCCCTTTTGACTTTAAGGTTCAAGTAATTTGTGAAGTTCAAGGCGTGGTAGTTCTTCGGATGAAGAATGGAGCCGCCGGCCTCAAAAGACTCGCCGGAGACTGTGACCGTGGCCATGCGGCCGCCGACGACACCATGGCGTTCAAACATTCGTATCGAGCCCACTTGAGATGGACTGGAATAGGTCCGCAGGAAATGTGCCACAGAGGAGCCGCCGATCCCGCTGCCGAGTATGCATACTGCCGGAGGAGATGACGCCGACTCGGAGGTGAATACCAGTAGAAGTAGCAGGAAGAGGAAGGAGTAGACAATAGCTATCTTCATTGATCTTCAAGATTTCTTCCTGCTTGGATGACGGAAGTCAAGATCTATCATTTGCTAATTGCTAAGGTTACAGTGGAATATACACGTATGTCTACTACTGTTCTAAACTCTAAAGTCAACTATGTCTTCCTGCTTGGATGACGGAAATCAAGATCTATCATTTGCTAAAGACTTAAACATAAAGAGCCCATTTTGTAGCGCCAAATTGGCTGAATCGACTACTTCTGTTGAAATTTATGAAGTTCTGACTGAAGTGACTGGATTGACTAATTCTGCTGATTTAAGCAAAAATTATATTTAAAATATATCTTATAAATAAAATAAAGAAAAAATTATTTGTAAAATAGCTAAAATGATTATCTACAGTAACTTTAGCCAATACAGTCAGAAAAATAATTTCAACCTTACTTTTCCTTAGTATTACACAATTCAGCGCACGAAATCAAAAATTACGTGTTTGGTAAAAAAGTTGGCTGATAAGCCGAAAAACAGTGGTACCAAACGGCCTCTAAGTGCAACGGTCAACTTTTCACATTTTGTCGAGCACAACTTTAACCATTAATATATATAATTCTCTGTTATTAAACAAATTAAAAAAATCATATTTTGAAAATTTACAATGAAACAAATTTTATAATATTTTTAATAAAATATTAATATATTAATAAATAAAACTTAATCAAATGAGAACATGTGAATAGCGTAAAAGTTAACATGTTGCATTTATTTAAGAACGGAGGTAGTATTTAGTAAAATATTTTTCTCCTTATTTGAATGGTTTTATATATAATGATAATTTTTCTTCATAATATCGAGAAAAACTTACCAAAATTATATAGGGAAAAGGACAGAAAATGTGCTTGTGGTTTGGGCCGTTTTCAGATAGGGGCGCGTGTTTCATTTTTTAACAAAGCGGGACATGCATTTCAGTTCCGTTATCATTGCAGGGGCATGACGTCTAATTAACGCCGTTAAAAAATCTAACCCTGTTTTTTAACACTCTCCGAAACATTAAAAGAAAAATACTTGGAGGTGCGCCTCATCAAAGGGACCAACAAACTATCGTTCTCTTTGAATTTTTCGGCTCTATTTGGTTTATTTTTAAAAAATGAATTTGTTAATATCACTTTTCCGGCGGATTTTTTGGCAACATGGTGGCTGGAAACAAAAAAAGAAAGATAGTTTGTTGGTCTCCTTGATGAGGCACACCTCCCAGTATTTTTCTTTTAATGTTTCAGAGACTTTTGAAAATCGGGGTTAGATTTTCTAACGGCGTTAGAAGTCATGCCCCTGCTGTGATAACAGAATTGAAACACATGTCCCCACTTTGTTGAAAATGAAACACGTGCCCCTATCTGAAAACGGCCCAAATCACATGTACTTTTTTTGTGATTTTCCTAATTATATAAAATCGTGGAAAGAAAAAGAGAGAAACGTCAGTCATTCGTTTTTATGTATCCATCTCTTTCATCACAGATATGTGCATCATGTACATTGTGCCATTGGAAATGTTGTAAGGTCCCATTAATATTTTATGTTTTTCCACAAAACAATTATACGGACTATTTATTACACACTTTGGTATTAGATTGAGGTATTTTTTTAAATCATATTCCCCTCATCCAATAAAACTCTTCCCGGTTTGACTTCGATCAAAATTTATGAAAGTGAGAACAAAATAAAAACTATAATTGTGCTTGAATAAGAAAAAAGTAAATGAATATTAGTTATACAAAACTTTCCAAAAAATGAATTGGAAATAATTTTGTGGGACATCCCAAAAAGGTACATAAGTGAAAAGAATTTTATGGGACGAATGAAGTATATATTTTTGAGATCTATGTAACGGTGTATGTTGAATAATCTTTTATTTATTAAATTAGGAAGAACAATTTTCACGTTTTTAGTGTTTTATAACTAACTTTCATGTATAATATTTTTGCCTCATAATAAATAACTCTCTACAATTAACTCTGATCCATAGATCAACAAGGTGAGAAAAAAAGAACTATTAAAATACTTAAACTAGAAATTAATTATTATTTTTTTGATAATAACACAACGAGACTATTAAAATCTATTGTGAACTTTGATTTATATATTATAGTTAGTTCATCCATATGTATACACACAATGGAATGAGAAAAATATCATCCTTTATTAGTTATTGGACAAATAATAGGAAAAGTGTAACCAACGCAGAATATAGTTAAGAATAAATGAGGTGGGGTACAGGGTAGGTAATGGGCGAACATGTATAAAATCGTTTCAAACTCCCCTGTGTTTTTCTATTCATGCGCAAAAACCCCATCAAGAACAAATTTTACAATTTCGAAATCACTTTCTTAATAATATGATTGGATATGCAAGTAATTTTGTCATAATTTCCAAATTATACAAAAAAACTCAATCAATTTTCATTTATTTGGCAATTAAATTTGTTCATAGAAGGGGTTTTGCGCTTGAATAACTACTACTAATAATACAAGGGGTTTTGATGCATTTTTTTAAATCACGTGAGCTAATGCGTCAAAATTATATTTCATAGGGGGTCGGTGCATTAAACCGAGGGTGAAAGAAAGAGGAGGGAGTCCCCGCACATGTTTTATCAGCTAAGAGGAGAAGGGCATATTTTTAAAAAGTATATATAGCGTGTACTGCCGTACTGGTGGGTATATGGAGTGTACAAGAGAAGGTGTTTGGCCACAGGCCACGCAATGGACGAAAAAGGATTACAACTGGGAAGAACATTGGTGTATACTTCGTCTTCAACACCAGGAGAGCAGGGGCGACGGAATGGACTTGCGACTTGCGAGCGGGAAACTTCTCGGGACAGGAGGGGTCAGGACAATATCGCTAGGACAGCTAGGCCCACCTTCTTTCAGCGTCTGTGCATTATTTCTAGGGAAAATATCGCAAATGGGCTAAAATTGAAAGTAATATCACGTTTATCATTTTTGGAAACTCTTTTCAAAAGTAGACTAAGCGTAATTTTCCTTTCATAAATAGACCTTATCCGGTTATACACATCTTGCTTCCTCCGTTCCTCGGAAGATCGCTCAAGATATCAAAAGGGAAGGTATGCACTCATGTAGTCTTGCCACGTTAGCAAGGAAAAGTCTTTATCTCCAAATTTATTAAACCATAAAAAATGTACACCGTTAGAAAATAAATCTTTTTCAAAATAAAAAAGCATTAAATCTTAAAAGCATAAATTATAACAAAATAAAATCTACAAATTATTTTTTAAAAAATTAGAATAAAAATAATATTTTTAAATGATAAAACTTTTTAGAAGAGTCAAAAAGTTAAAAAAAATCTAAATATTCTAAAAAAAGAAAATAAATAAACAAAAATCATTAAAAAAAAGTATGAAGTAAAGCAAGAGAATAAAAAAATATGAATTATCATAAAACTTACAAAAAAAGAAGTGAAAACTGATTCTTTTTAAATTTCTCAGAAATACAAATATGAAAATTTGATGATAATGCATAAAATTCGTAAAAACTGAAAACAATTGTAAAAAATTATAAAAATAACTAAAATTAATATATATAGTTTCAAAGAATTCGGAAAATTCAAAACTATTGTAAAAAGATAAAAATAGAAATAAGATTCATTGAATTTATAAAATCTGAAAACCTGGAGTAAATTAAAAGGCATGTAAAGTATAAAAACCCATAATACAAAAACATTGTTATAATTTAATTATTACTTTTGTTGCACATTGTTTCTTTGTGTTTCTCATTGTTGATAACTTTAATTATTTTTGTTTTTTATTGTTTCTTCATGTTTCTTTTTCTTTATTCATAAATCCAAATTTTATCTTTATAGGTGTTTATATATATATATATAAGATTTTTTATTCCAAATCACTAACAAATATAAATAGCAAGCAAAAGTCAGAATTAAAAATAAAGAACAATAAACAACACGATACAACAAAATGCAACATGGTGATACAAAAATCAACCAGCTGCAACAAAACGCAACATGATGCAACAAAAAATAAGACATGCAGTGCAACATAGAGAAACAAAAACAACACCCCATATAAAATTTACACAAAATATATAATCTAGGATAGTCCTCAATTAAACCTTCTGTTGGAGTTGTGCCATTACCTGCTTGAGCCTCCAGTTTCCCACCACCCTCATTTGTAGAAGTTGCTAGGTTGGCAATAACATTTGTTATGTTGTCAGCAGTGTTTCCAGCTCTTGCAAGTGCAGTCGGTTCAGTACAAGCATCTGATTAGCCCATTTGCGATATTTTCCCTAGAAATAATGCACAGACGCTGAAAGAAGGTGGGCCTAGTTGTCCCAGCGATATTGTCCTGACCCCTCCTGTCCCAAGAAGGTTCCCGCTCGCAAGTCGCAAGTCCATTCCGTCGCCCCTGCTCTCCCGGTGTTGAAGACGAAGTGTACACCAATGTTCTTCCCAGTTGTAATCCTTTTTCGTCCATTGCGTGGCCTGTGGCCAAACACCTTCTCTTGTACACTCCATATACCCACGAGTACGGTAGTACACACTATATATACTTTTTTAAAAATATGCCCTTCTCCTCTTAGCCGATAAAACATGTGCGGGAACTCCCTCCTCTTTCTTTCTGTAACACTTGAGATTTAATATAAACGGATTAATAGTACTACTCATGCCAACAAGATGCATCTCCTTTTAAGGGAGCTCATCACCAAGAACTCCAAAGTTGAGCGTGCTTGCACGGGAATAGTCCTGGGATGGGTGACCCCCTGGGAAGTTTCTCAGGGCGCGCACGAGTGAGGACAAAGTGCGCGGAAAAGGCTAGTGGCGGTTTGTGAGGACAGTACTAGAGGTCTGAAGGGTGTGTGGAGTAACTACCTCAGGTCCCACGGGGCCGGGGTGTTACACTTTCACCCTCGGTTTAATGCACCGACCCCCCATGAAATATAAATTCATGCATTAGCTCACGTGATTTAAAAAATGCATCAAACCCCCTTGTATTATACGTAGTAGTTATTCAAGCGCAAAACCCCTTCTATGAACAAATTTAATTGCCAAATAAATGAAAATTGATTTGAGTTTTTTTTTTTGTATAATTGTAAGGAATAAATGTAATTAGATTTTGATGATGCTATAGGATTAGAAAGTTAGAGTACC